AAACACCTTAAACTCTACCATCAAAAGTTTTGTTTGCAATTCAATGTTTTCTTTGGAAGTTTTTCTCTTGATTTAGTAAAGCTTTTGTTTACTCAGTTTTCCAGAAAATGCATGGATTGATGTATTGTGTCAGATCCATAGATTTTTCCAAGTACAAGCTCGAATTGAAACAAGAAATACGAAACATAGCATGACTAACAGTGACAAACTAAGGAATGCTAGAAGGTTGTTGTCGAACACGTTTACGTTTGAACTCCTGAATCCACACCGTGGGTTATAAAATTGTGAACAACAAGTTGAAATGATTACTTAAATTTCTTAGGTAAGCCTCCATCTCTTCTTTTCCCGAGCGGAGGTGACATCAGGCATCTGGGATTGGACAGTAATGTCACTGGACCGTACAATACCATGGCTTACGATCAGGGTTCTTTAGGAGCACTGACCGTGTGGTGGGAGGAAAAGCTGGTCTACTGGACTGACTTAAGGGAGGGTACCATTAAAAGAGCGAAAATGCCAGGTAAGATGAGGAGTGGGAACTGCGTGACAGCTTAACCGGGATCGATTGCAATCGATATTTCTGAGTTAAATACCCACATTTTTTCCTGGACATCCTGTTCATCCTTGCCTGTTCTTATCCCGGAGAAGGGGTTGGGGGGGAGGTTACTTGGTTAATTTTAGCTGGTTATGTGCCGCTGGGCTGTCGGAGCCCTGACGCCATTATAGTCTATTCTGTGGCCAATTATAGACCCCATCTTAGTCACTGTTGGGCAAATATTTGATTTTCGCGATCCCAACTTAGTCACTTTCTACTTATGTATCCTTTATGTAGGTCATCCAAAAATGAATTGACCCATTTTTTAGATTGAATGAAGAACACTTTACTTTACACTACAAACATTCTGGTATGTTTGCTAACCGTAAATATGAAGAACTGTCTTACCCCAAAAATCAGAAGATGTGCGACCCCATTCTAGTCACTCTATTGAAAATGCGACCCCATTATAGTCACTCCAGTCGTAAAAATGCGACCCCATCCAGCGGCACATCCCCATTAGCCTCTTATGAGGAAGTACCCCCCGGGGGTTCTTATGCCGGGAAAAAAGAGGAAAGTTTCCTTTTTTCCCGCGGATGTGCTTTAAACTGGCTAATTTGAACGCGGTTATACAGTGCAGCAGAGATGTCTTAAGTGCTGTTTCTCTCTTGATATTGTATTAACTGTAACCTCTTTCTTACTAGTTGTGTGCCTCTTTCCTCGCGATCGTCGATTTTCACGCGCACTCGCTTATTTCACTTGGTTTTCTATCCCTGTAGAAAATAAGGGGCTACACGAAGTCGATCTTCTCCGAGATGACCCTAAATTCTGGCTTACAAAATGTGATATATTTCGCTTGTTGTGGTATTCGGTTTCCTATTCCGTAGTTACCAAAGACGAGGAACCAGCCAAAACGACCCACAACGACCCAAAATTATTTAGCATTTATTCCATGAGCGCGCGTTGGATATGAGGTGGATATGAGGCGCTACGCGCCTCGTTGGCTATAACTATCTCATAAACAACAACCGCGAATGGAATAATTGTTATATTAAATTTTTTTAAACCCCAAACGTCTGATTATTACAACTGAATTTTAGTAAATTTCATTTTAAATATTACAACACGACCGGATATTAATGTAACTTCCGGTAAACCAAGGGAAAATCACATGACATGTGCGCCGTTTGCAAACACAAAGGAGAAAAACACTCATTTCAAGTTGACGTGCGTCGCTCAAAAACGTCGCGGCCTAAACTCCCTAATGAAAAATCGGAAAGGGAAGGCCGTTGTGCTTAAATTATTTCCCTTGCTGCGACTGTGGAATTTGACGCCGGATAGGTCGACCAGATTGTTCTTCAATTTCGTTTTCTCCCTCCACTGAATCGTCATGTAGCTGCACAAAGACTCAGCTTTATTAATCAATTTGTTGTTGTTGTTGTTCAATGGAAAGCCGCTCGTTGTAGGATTCACTCGAGGCCAGTTATGGTCCGTTATGGACTTGCGAAAGTGTTAAGAGGTGTAAAAGCTCTTTAAACACGCAAAAAATCTGCTAATGGTTTTGAAAACCTTTACTCCTGCAAGGACTTGCAAGCCACTTTTTTTCTGAAAATTTTTAAGGAAAACTTTGTTGTTGTTGTTGTTAAGTAGTCAGCTAGACGTACGGAATAATGAAGCTTATAATTTCTTTAAATTTGTAAGGAAACTTAGAGTACCATTGAATAATTTCAAACCAAAGTTTGTGGCTTTTTTGTAGCTGCGGGTATGGCATTTTCTGTTTTTTTTTTTTCTTTCTGTTGTTTCGTCGGTAGAAAGCTCGCGAAATCTACTTTTTTTCCGCCGCTTTGTCCGAGAGAAATTTTGTAGTTTTCCATATAAGGTCAAACTAAGGTATATGAGCTGATAACCGAGATTGAGTGAACCAATCAGAATGCTAGAAATGCATTATCCGAGGTTGAAAATGTAATAAATTATATTATTATAACAAAAGCAAAAGCTAATCTACATGATCTTTTTATGAAAAATAAAAGAAACTTTAAAGAAAGGGTTTTTTTCACGACTGTCTCCTCGCTCCCATAAGCTTCTCGTGATTCGCGCGTACTGTGTGACGGCAGCGAGGCCAAGGCCTTGTTCGCACATAAAACTTTATCGAAGTATTCTCCACACCTTTACGTACTTGGCACGAATGCCCTACTGCATGTCCTACAGTGAATGAACTACCATCAGTAACTTTCCTTGACATCTTTTATTTAACCTTGTCTTGTTTACTTTGTAGATAGAGCAAAATACAACAATCGAGTACCCCGGTCTATCAAACAGGAAATCCAAGATTTACAAGTGGCAGTGGGACGAGCACAGGGTCTGGCTGTTGATTGGTTGAGTGGCAACATCTATTGGACAGATGTTAAGAAGCGAGTTATTGAAGTGGCCAATAAAGACGGTCACTATAGATACACACTGATGTCTGGACTTGTTAACATGCCTCATGCTTTGGTCCTTGATCCTCCCAATAGGTAATAATAATAATCAAAGTGATAACGGTAGTAAAAATTATTTTAGAATTCCTCTTACTTGTTTGCGGAAACCCGTCATTTTAAGATCGAGATCCATGCCCAAAGAACGAGAGACTTTGACGTCGCGGCTAATGGTATTGCCCTTAGGGTGACCATTTTGTCGTGTAGTTCGGCGATATTCTACACACACCTAGATCATCGTGAAGTGGGCGAATTTCGATAAGAGTTGAGAAAATTCTTCATTCCAGGAAAGTCAGTGTCAAATCTGGGCATTTCTCATTTAGGTTTTTGTAACGATTACATATAGACGCTTTCGCTGAGTTTGTTCTGTGGTTGATCGATTTTGATACTCAGAATCTTATGAAAAATCTAGTTTAGGAGAAAAGTCGGAGAGAATGGTCCGGGAACTTTTTTTTCCAATCCAAATTCATTGTTTCTTATGAGAATATAGGGAGTAAGAGTTATTTTTACAACAGTAAGTTGCTTCATGCTACTTGATTTTTTCAATATATTATTTTATAACTACTACTACATTTTTAGGCGAATGTATTGGTCGGGACTAGGTTACCGGCCAGCCATACATACAGCGCTAATGGACGGTTCAAACGGAAAAGTTCTTGTAAAGGAAAAACTAAAATGGCCGCTTGGACTGGCGCTTGATGCCCCTGCACGAAGACTTTACTGGTGTGACTACAAACTAGGGATTGTGGATTCTGCTGGCCCTGACGGACGTGACAGACAGCTCATTAGAAAGCTTGAAAGGGGTATTGCGCCCACAGCTGTTGCGTTACACGAAAATTATTTGTACATCACTGCGCAATCTGGGATGCTTTACCGGTTAAACAAGTTTGGCCAAGGTCCGCTGACAGTTTTAGTACAGGGACTAAGGCGTCCGGTTGCACTTGTAGTGTATCAGCAACAACAGCAGCAAGTTTCTAAAGGTAAAGAGGAACCTTGTGATTAATTTGATCAATGAATTAGTTACCTTTAACAATCCGATATAATTCATGTACATATTTACTCTGAGGAGTTATTTCCACAGATGCAGTGAATTACTGTGGTTTGGGCAAGAACAAGTGCTCTCATTTGTGTCTACTTGGACTTAACAAGCCTGTTTGTAAATGTCCCACGGGCGACCCAGGAAAATCTGGTGCAAACTGCCGGTCACGTACGTATCTTTTGTACCACCACCTTATGCTCCATAACAGGTCACGTGTTACGTTGGCCGATATGGTCAAATATGCATGATAAGTAATCGTCTATGGTGCGTTGCTTGTTCCCTTAAAGAAATGTTTTTGATTGCTAAGACTTCGCAACCTTCCTTGCCTGCTAAATTTGTTGTTCTTGCTATGTTGTTTTTTTTTGCTTAACAGGTCTTTGATGTTGCGTATAAAATCTTTCTTTCTTTTACAATATTTCCCAAATTTGTGCGCGTTGTAGAGAGTCTTCCTTGTGTTTGTCACTATGCTTGCCTTGTTGTTAGATAAATCCCTAATCCCTTCCAATTGCGACTTTTGTTACTTCACATTATTTTGACGTTGTGAATCTTGTTACTTTTGCTGAACTTTAATTTCTCTGCTTTTCTATCCTCTTTATTATTTTTCGCACTTTAGTGAAAGATTCTTCCTTAAAGATGTTTGTTTTGGTTAATGTTTGTTTAAAATTGCCATCAAATTTTCCTGGCAGATATTTGCCGTCAGCTTTCACTCTTGGACACACCCTCTCACCCTACGTATTTTTCTTAGACCACAACAATAACAGAAGGCTTTAGAGGTCCTGCAGAAGAAGATTGAGACTAAAGAGGGCCGTTATTTTGAGCACAGGGGTACAGGAATAAGTAAAGCATTAAAAAATGAAGTAATCAAAGTCTTGGCTCCATCCCCCACGTGGATAGGCAAAATTCCGAATGTCGAATGTTATGTAGAGCTGACGCACGAAGCTTTTGTGCCCAGCTTTTGCAGCTGTATTCTAACGTTTGTTTTCCTTATCTTCACTGTAGCCACTAAGTCTCCTCGGCCACTTCCGGTTTGTTGGATTGGACTGTGCGGAAAAGGAACTTGTGTTAATGTCAACAATAAGGCCACTTGTGTGTGAGTATTTTACTATCAATAGCTCATTTTCAAATTGCTTTCAGAAGTTTTTCAGGAGGCTTTCAGGAGGCCTATTGCACAGCTATTCGAGTGAAAATGAGTTACAGACCTACGTGGTCCACATCTGATAAGTAGACACTGAAAAGCTTTAACGCAGTCACTCTCGCTCAACGAAGGCGCCTATAACAATGGCGGGCCTATACTAGGCACACAGCTATCATAATATAGGAATATTTTGAAGCTCTTTCACCTTTTGTAGCAAGTTGGCGATTAAGCGAGGGAAAATGGTCTTTAATTGCTGCAAACCTGCGATTTTAAGTTTGCTGTGTCTAAACGTTACGTAAGGACGAAGATCACTCCATCGACTGGGCCTTTAAATTACGAAACTGACGCGGAAAAGACAAATATTATGAAGACCGGAGCCTTACATAGGCAAGGCAAGTATGCTAAGGGAAAAAAGCTTAAAATAATTTCAAATCAGTAGAATTCTAACGCCAGACTAAAAAAAAGGTTACGTGTACAAGCTGCACCTTGTGATCGGTAAACTATTGGTCGATCTCCTTTAGAAGTGAGGACCAATGAGTTCTTACGGTGCCCTGGTTGTCAATGCTGATTTTTTGTGCTTTTATCACATGTATTGCCAGATGTCCGAGGGGTTTAATAGGAAAACGTTGCGAGACTACTTTGCCAACAGCTATTGTGCCTTCAAAGAAACCAGCATGCTTCCTGAAATGTCTGAACGGTGGAACTTGCGTGATAGAAGATTATAAACCCAAGTGCAAGTAAGCGACAGTACTATTTCGCCTTTAAGTCATGATTTTGCTGGCAATTTGTTCGGTTGTTTTGCCATTTCAGCGCAGGTATCATGAAGTCGGTTTTACTGTATTTTGCAGGTGCAGTATGTCTACCGTGCGACTGCACAACCGACACCACATAAAAAAAGAACCTGTCCAAACTAATTACAGGGAGCGAATAAGTGAATTGCATGCAAGAAAAGTCGTTTCAGCCAATTAGAATTAGCTTTGAATTGTAAAAAACTCAAATTTTGAATAGGGTCAGACAGGCAAAAACGTGGAATCCAAATTTTCGATGGCTAACAGCTAGTCCATCTTGATTATTGATTGGTCTCGACCTGAGGATCGAGGCCAATATCACGGTATGTCGTTGACCTCTGGGAACGAGGCCAAACTCAGAATAAGGCTACAACTCAGTCTTCATTGCCTCTCTCCAGGCCTACTTGCCGTTTAGTAAGAGGCAGGTAGGTCGGAGATATCGAGCTTCAACAAATCAAAAACGGCTTTCTTGAAGTGCAATCTATACATGGTCTGCTGTGTTTGATTACCGTGTACAAACTTTGGAAACATTATGTCTTACTTAACTAAATAAGTAAGATAATCGTGATAGATGGTGAATTCGAAGAACGTTCTACGTAAGCGTGGATAGTTTTACAAGTAAGTTGCCACTTGTTTCGAATATAACTACGCCATGCATGGATACGATTTGTTGCAAAATACCAGCAATCACGAGCAAAACCACTACGCATTGTCCAATTTGTGTTACCTCAAGGAAGGTTTTTTAGTGCTATATCGTCTCTCTTCGCGATTCTTCTGGTTCCGGAATTTGGGCTCATCCTCGGTGTAAAAACCTGTGAAACTCACGAGTGACGTAGAACAATGAATGCAAAGAAGCCACTGAGGAGTCAACACAATAGTGCCAAGGAAAATAATTACTAGAAAAAAAAGAAAAACTTCACAGGTTTTTACACCGAGGAAAACCAGGAATTTGGATTTGGATTTGCGTTTCGAGTCTTTTTTTTCCATGTTTGGCTCAAACGACTTGAGCTGGAATTTATTGTTTGCTTTCTGTAATCTGATTCGTTAAGTTTTTTAATTGGATTTTGGGGGAACAGTATTTCGCGGGGTTTTATTTTCGCGAGTAAATAGGCAACTATGAAAAAGGGCATTAATTTTCGGTATTCAAGCGTTCTCAACTTTATTTTCTCTTAAGAAATGACTCTTGAACGTGCTAAAATTTCTAGATAAATTAGAACAAGCAAAACGCATATTTATAAATTAACTTTTAAGTGTTATAAGACCTTTTTTAAACTTTATTTCACAACCGAAGATACAAACTGGAACTTGACTACTAAGGCCAGTTCAAAATTTGTGTATTTATCAATACATATCCTGTGTTCCTGGGTCATGTTTTTATTATTAAATGTATTTTCTATACGGGTATAAAATTGCCCGAGCATTTAAATTCGAGCTTCGGAAAACGCGAAATTAAAGGTCAACCAGTAAGGTAGTTTTACTGAAAGACATTGCGTTACTTCCTTTTTTAGATGCTTACCCCGAACCATGGGTGAATTGTGTGACATGACGTGCGCCTTGTTCAGCTGTAGTCACGGTGGAACGTGTATCATTCAGGACGGACAGTTTGCTTGCCAGTGAGTAACAGCTAAGTGTTTTAGCCACTTTCACCTTTCTACCCTGCTTGATTCAAACCAGAAACTCCTATGAGTTTTTGTTCAAACTGAATCGCGTACTAGCGATTTTAAATTTTCCTGTGGATAATGAGATTACAACTTTGACGACCAAAAAACTGGGCCAACGCTTAGTAATTTTTCAATTTAATATAATGAAAATGAAGAAATGACGCAAGTTTATGCAATTGCGTAAAGAAGCCTGAAAAAAATTCAGGACGTCAACGGGGTTTGAACCCGTGACCTCGCGATACCGGTGCGATGCTCTACCAACTGAGCTATGAAGCCACTGACGTTGGGAGCAGGTCAATTGTGGGTTCATATGATCCCGTGAAAGAAATGAGTGTTAATGATATATGAAATAAATCATATATGAGCTGCGGAAATGAATGTGGCTTCATAGCTCAGTTGGTAGAGCATCGCACCGGTATCGTTTGACCTCTTTTGTTTTGACACTGGCGTGAAATATGCAAACAACGATTGCCTTTTGGCCGCCGTTAGTATTCACACTCTGTCCCAGTTCCCCTCGATTTCAGCTGAGATGCCTTGCACATTTTTTTTGACGTAGCTTCTGAAGTGATGTTTATTACATGTTTTGTAGACTTTGCTTCAACTTTCGTGGGCCAGAAGGCTTGGAAGATGCCAGAATGTCTTTTCTTTTTCATTTCCTTTTGTTTTCCTATCACAAAAAACCTATTTTGCCAAATTTTTTGGCAAGAATTCGAAGCTGAGATGAAATTACCTGGTCTTACTTGACGTTCGTGTGAAGGCTCCAAGCGGGTAGATCTACCCGCTACCCGCCTACTATTGAAATCCCTCAGTGTAAAACAGTATCGTGAAAATTACGCTGAAATGTTATTTCTATGATGTTTTAGATACTTCTCTGATTGTTTATGGCACCGATTACACTCAATTATTGTATGCAAGAAATATTAAGTAATGATTTTACCGAGAAAAAAAAAGCTATGTTGTTGATAATAAGAAGTACCGTTATTGAGAATATAGCTGTCTCTCGAGAGTCAAAGGTGGCTGTGTTTGCCGCAGGATACAGGTATTGGGTCAGGTAAACGGCAACGTCGTTCCCAGGGTCCTATCCTGCTTGTTCCTGAGCGGAAGGTCGAGTAGGAGAAGACCCTGGGAACAAGGCTGGGTAAAGAGCTTTCCCTTCAAGACATGCTCAGTGCAGAATGAAAGGTTTCAACTCCCTTATGTTTTTTTGTCTTTTTATAGGTGTCGAAGGGGATTCCGATATGTTGGGAACAAAACTTGCACATTAGATAAATGCTATGAAGAAAATCGAAATGGCAAATTATGTGGTAATTTGGAATGTGTTGTCACGAACGACACTAACGAAGCGATGTGCAGGTGAGCACATAATATTGATGGCTTATTTTCAAGGACTTAAAACAACATCTAGATAAATGAGCAAGAGTGAAGTTAATTTGGTTGGTGCCTAATGTCCTAATGTGACACACTCTTCCCTTCCCCCAAAACATTAAACTCATAGCTGATACTAGCTCTGTCTGGTACGATGAGTAAGAGAGACTAAAAAGTAGTGTTCAGTAAATACCAACTGACTAATCTGTAAGCGATACTACACCTTCCTTCTCTTTGACGTTTAGACTTAAGCTATTCTGCTGCATAATATTTGACCTGTAACCTGCTGCCCTTACAAACGTTAATTTTTCCCCTAAAGAAAGTGTAATTCACACAGTTTCTCAACTGACCGAATTTGGCCTTACTTTACCCCTAGAAAAAACTTCATTCTGATATTAAATTCTAATTGTTTTCCACGGTTTAACAAAGTTGAGTTACGCCTGTGATGAGGTTGGTGAATAGAGCTTGCTTGTTAGCGAACAAAGGTTTGAATCAGAATGTGTTTTGATGACATTACAGGTGTCCTGATGGATCACTGGCTAAATTCTGCAAAGAACCGGAAGTTTTGGGACGAAAGGGAACTGAAGGTAATCCCTGAGCTTCCTCTCCCCACCTCCACTCTACTGAAAATTGTCACGTAATAATTATCAAAAGTGAGACACAATGTGCATCACAAGATCATACACTAAGAAGAAAGTGGAAACTAAGACGCACAGCGGAGTATTGTTAGACGAACTTCGAGGAGTTTGATATTGTGATGTTTGATATTACTTCTAAAAGTAAGTTATTTTATGAGGAGAAATCAAGGATGCAAAAAAGAAGGGCTTTTCATCTAATTTCCAAACACTGGTGTAACATTCATTTCCTTTGTATTTTCTTTATGAATTAAATAAGAAACGCAGGGAAGAGGCTTGATCTAGCATCGTGGCCATTTTTTGGTGTTAATATAAGATTTGTACTTTTCTAGAAATCTGAGGTCCGACAATTAACAATAGTTATATATTCGAATGATGATGGCAGAATACTCGATTCATGTTTGTTTTTTAACGAAACCACTCACAGAATCATGCATAGCGTGAAACGGCAGATACATTCGAACGCTCGACTGGATATCCCGCGTAGCAGACAACATAAAGTAACGAAACTCATCTATCACCTCCAATATAGCCTGTTCCAGGCTCCGAGATAGCTAAATTGAGAAAGCGCGAACATAGCCTTTCTCCTTTTTCCCGCCCCGCCAACTTTTAGGGTGCCTTTTACTTTCGCGTCTTCCCCACTATCAGAGAGCCTGGAACAGGCTACCTCTAATAGAGCCGNTGAAGTTAATTTGGTTGGTGCCTAATGTCCTAATGTGACACACTCTTCCCTTCCCCCAAAACATTAAACTCATAGCTGATACTAGCTCTGTCTGGTACGATGAGTAAGAGAGACTAAAAAGTAGTGTTCAGTAAATACCAACTGACTAATCTGTAAGCGATACTACACCTTCCTTCTCTTTGACGTTTAGACTTAAGCTATTCTGCTGCATAATATTTGACCTGTAACCTGCTGCCCTTACAAACGTTAATTTTTCCCCTAAAGAAAGTGTAATTCACACAGTTTCTCAACTGACCGAATTTGGCCTTACTTTACCCCTAGAAAAAACTTCATTCTGATATTAAATTCTAATTGTTTTCCACGGTTTAACAAAGTTGAGTTACGCCTGTGATGAGGTTGGTGAATAGAGCTTGCTTGTTAGCGAACAAAGGTTTGAATCAGAATGTGTTTTGATGACATTACAGGTGTCCTGATGGATCACTGGCTAAATTCTGCAAAGAACCGGAAGTTTTGGGACGAAAGGGAACTGAAGGTAATCCCTGAGCTTCCTCTCCCCACCTCCACTCTACTGAAAATTGTCACGTAATAATTATCAAAAGTGAGACACAATGTGCATCACAAGATCATACACTAAGAAGAAAGTGGAAACTAAGACGCACAGCGGAGTATTGTTAGACGAACTTCGAGGAGTTTGATATTGTGATGTTTGATATTACTTCTAAAAGTAAGTTATTTTATGAGGAGAAATCAAGGATGCAAAAAAGAAGGGCTTTTCATCTAATTTCCAAACACTGGTGTAACATTCATTTCCTTTGTATTTTCTTTATGAATTAAATAAGAAACGCAGGGAAGAGGCTTGATCTAGCATCGTGGCCATTTTTTCGGTGTTAATATAAGATTTGTACTTTTCTAGAAATCTGAGTTCCGACAATTAACAATAGTTATATATTCGAATGATGATGGCAGAATACTCGTTTCATGTTTGTTTTTTAACGAAACCACTCACAGAATCATGCATAGCGTGAAACGGCAGATACATTCGAACGCTCGACTAGATATCCCGCGTAGCAGACAACATAAAGTAACGAAACTCATCTATCACCTCCAATATAGCCTGTTCCAGGCTCCGAGATAGCTAAATTGAGAAAGCGCGAACATAGCCTTTCTCCTTTTTCCCGCCCCGCCAACTTTTAGGGTGCCTTTTACTTTCGCGTCTTCCCCACTATCAGAGAGCCTGGAACAGGCTACCTCTAATAGAGCCGGAATTAATCATTTCTTACAGGGATAATTTTTTTATCTCCTAAAAGTGACGCCGCAGATCATTGTACCTGTAGTGATGGTCTTGCTATTATTGATCGCCATTGCTATCCTGGTTTACTGTCGCCGTCGTGGCCCGTAAGTTGTATTATTTTATTGGCATTTTACCTGTTAATTTTTTTAAGTTATCACTTTGTAGTTCTTACATTTTATCTGATTACGTGCATTCGTGTCATGTAACATTGGTATTTTGATATTTTTCCTCCCAATAGTTGATACTATTGTTTTATGGCTTGTGAAAAAATTGTATTTCAGTTTACTTTTAACAGTCAACCTTGCCAAATGGCTGTGACCGTTTTGCAGGTCATGAGGAACCGCTTTTAAGCTTACGTGATACATATTTCCATCTACTTCCTGTGTATGTCGTGTATACGTTTGCTTATCTTTCAGCTATTTAACTTCAATTTAAATTTTTTCCCTTTTATCGTACTTAGCATGAAAAAGGCACAGTACAGCGGTATGACGACTGTACAGGTAGGAAACCCATCATTTCTGTATGAAGAGATGCTTGAAGATTATGAAGACAGCAGCGTAAATCCCGACTTCAACTGGGAACAAGACGAAAAGGTACACAGAAATATTAGTGCATCTAACCTCGTTCTCGGAGGCCGCGGTACCGTTGTTTAGCGGACGAGATTGTGTTACACCTTTCTCTTATTACCAAGATTCACGTAAAATAAAACAATATTCATTCATGGGTCGACCCATTATGGAACGTCAATCTTTTCATGTACTTAATTGAAGGAATTAGGTTTGGTACAGGAAAAGTTCGAAGTTTGAACTGGCCTTCTTTTTCTTTCCAGGCTACCACGTTCTCCAATCCGGTGTATGAATCAGTTTATCGATCAGACGCCAGCATGGGCTCAGAGGTGTTACGAGAAAGAGAGCCTCCAAGGGTCGAGTTCCGTAGGAGCAAAGCGGACTTTTCAAACCCCGTTTATGAAGCGTTACTTTTGCAAAATGGATCCCAGAAGTCTGGATCAGTGCTGTGGAGAAGCAATGAGAGCATAAATGGTGACACTCCCGGTAATCAGGACACTGACTGTTAACAGCAAAGACAATTTAGGTAAACGGAGGCCAATGTTTGCCAATCAAGAACAACGCTCCTGAAGGGTGAAGGTTCTGGACTCTCAGGAGCTTGCGAAGTAGGCGTATGGAAAACGTACGTCATGAGTAATAGCTGCGTGCGCGACGGGGATTGAGGAGAAATGCTCCCTCCCTCTCTCCTTACTCAAGTCCTTCTCGCCACTCCACTAACCATGGAAAGAAAATTAGTTACAAGATTTCGGCGCCTCCATTTCAGGGATCGTTTGGGTGCACAGTCGTTGGTTATGATTGGCTGATAGTCTCCAAAGGCAACAGTTGATCAATCATTGCTTTTATTGTCCTCCCAAACGATCTCCGAAGTTTTTGACATGTTTGTGGTGAAAGCTTATAATTCTCCCTGTAGTTTATGGAGCAGCGACTTTCCCTTTCGCAAACGGTCGGTGGAATCGTTTGTAATACAGCCTTGCAGCTCTGGCTGTAGATTATGTCATAATAAAGCTAAACCAAACTTTCGAATAGTCCTCAGGAACTCCCAAACCACGTTAAAATTCGGGAACGAGCTGGTGTCACCCTTTATTTATTGGATATGAAAGACAAAGTTCTAAGTACAAGTGTGGTGCTAAAGGGAGTGAAATTAGCATGCAAAAAAGACCCGGATCCGATTCTGTGTTCTGTATTTCTTTCTTTTCATACAGACTAACACCTCAATTGAAACTGTGTGTGTTTTTATGGCGTCTACCGTTCACAATTTGAATCTTCTGTTTCCCCGCGCGCATCGCTCTTAATCGCGTTTCTTATTTTCCCAACTCAGGATAATTTATGTACTTGAAGGGGAAATACTGCAAGTTCGAAAGAGACGGTTACTGGCGTAAATGTGGAAAAATTTCCATTTGGTTCTGGCCTTTTTTCGTAAACGATACCATCGTTTATGTGTTACATGTTCTCTAAAGTGACATTTACATTTAGTTAGGAGTTTTAAATTTAGCGATTGGGTAATTTATTCTGCAGAGTTAAAACCCTTTCATTCCCATAAGTGTTTAAAGTTCAGTAAATAGAGGATATTACATGGCCGCGCGGAGCGCGAACGAGTGAAATATTTTCAACACGAGAAGAGAAATTTTGTATCTCCAAGCGGCCATGTAATGTTCTATTTATTATATAAACACCAATGAAATAGCAAACCATGTCAATGAAACAGTTTTTCCTGCGAAAGGCGCGATTTATTATGTAGCCATAGCAACAGTGATATTTTCACATGTGAAAATAACATCTTCTTTTCACGTGTGAAGATATCATGTTTTCGCGCGAAAGCTCACCTGGTATTTCATCGGTGTTTATATAATAAAAAGTACTAAGTTTCACCCAGCACAGTATAGACGAAACAGCATCACAAAAAACTGCTGCTCTTCAAGGCTTTATTCTGGCAGAATTAAAAGTTCAACGTTAAAAACGTTAATAACTTCGTTTAAGCTAGCCTTAGCCTCGAAAGTTTTTAAACCAAACTTTGATAAAAGTTTTTGGTGGAAACTTTTTGTGGGGGGAGTATATTTGTACAAAAAGGAGCTCAAAACGAAGCAGATAACCAGTGTTTCTTTTAAACATAACGGTACGTCGATCAGGTCATTACCGTAATTCATATTTGGTATGAATAATGTCATGACCTAAACTTGAGCAACAAGTGGTAAACTTCATCTGTATTTCGCAGTTGTGCAAAATCAGATTGAGCATCACGTTTACGGTAGAAATACCGAATCCCCGCCTTTTTGAACTGCTTCCCGTTTACGATGTAAAGGAAGATGTTTCACGTTCATGAAAAACCCAAGGACGAACTGTAGCTGTTGGTTAAAATAGCTATTGTGTTATCGTCTTTGCTGTTTGCCGTAAGCGTAAAGCTTAATCCCTCTCGCAAGTGACATACCCATATTTCCGTTATCATTGGTAAATAATTGTTGGTTATAGCATACAGAGGTGCTCAAGTACTTTACCAGAGCCACACGTACACCCATTGTGAAATTGTTGTCCGTATTTTACGCTGGATTCCATCGATAAAGAGAGCTTTTGCTTACTTCAGCCGTTTCCGCGAGATTTTTCTATGCTTTAGCTTTTCACAGAAATTGTTATAACGTGCAGTACAGATCTTTTCAAGTTCAACCCCGCCGTTTTGAAAGTAGAGTGTTCGAAAACCCGAAAGGTAAATTTGCCCCGTTAGATTTCTGTCTGAAAGAATTTTGAATGGTTAACTGAAATCTCCGCCCCCCTTTTTTTCTGAAGAGGTTTTCTACCGTTTCCGGACTCTGGCTTCAAGTATCTCGCACAAACCGGCTTTTACAAAAAAAAAATGTTTGACTAAGTAGCTTGAAATTTTTATCTATCAAAATTTTGCACATATCAAGTGACATAAAAGTTAAATGACATCGTATTTCGTTTAATCATCTTATGTCTTGAAAAACTCGTATTTGCCTCATGTTCAAAATGACGGGCTGGATTACGAAAAGGTCTATTGGCAGTTTAAACTGCATACACAAGGTAAATATTGTACAACGAGGTAACTCTTTATAATGAGAATTGAATAAGTTTCTAATTCAGTTATTTATTGACTAAAAATAAAGAGGCGATGCGTCTCACCCAAAACATGTATATTTTAAGATAAAAGTGTATTGGTTATATTTAAAGGGACCGGGGGTTTGAATTTAGGAAGTTTTTAGCATCATGACTCAGTCGTGACGTGCGTTCAGATACTTCCAGTTCAAACCCAAGTCTTCCTTTTCAGGAACGTTAACATCTGAAATAGCGTTATCGTTAACGAAATGTTCGTCGGTAGCAATTAAGCCTAACTAAGAAATAAAATCACAAAACAACGAGAATGTGAGGAAGATGTGTATTCAGTTAGTGACACAGGCGTTTCGGAAGAATCCGAATACTGCCAACAGGAGTCGAACCTATGAGGTTCTGGTTACTACAGTAGTCCCCACGCTCTACCACTGAGCTACAGGAGACTCGTGGCCGGGAGCTAAGGCCACTAAACTATGTTCATGTGACAAACATCCTGCATTCTGCTAGTACTGGAAAGTCCATATGTGCTTTTGCGCAATGATAGAAATGTGATGGTGAAAGAGTGTTTGTTTGCGTATTTCTAGAAGCCCAGTGTCTGATTTGTTACAACAGGCAGGCTAGATATGGTTTCCTTGAATGACACAGTCCAACCACGTACAGGATAGAATTCAGCGCCATCGTATTCAGTTGCAGCTTACAGACGAATCTTTAAGTCTTCGAACCCACACACTCAAAATTTCAGCCTCCCCAATACATCTTCGTACCCCCCTTCTCCAAATTCACTGAACGTTTCCTTATCCACGTTCTCTCCATACAGATAGTATCAAACATAACAACATTTAAAATAGGTACAAGTATGCTTTTGACTATTGATAAGACCTTTCACAACCACCCCTTTATTTGAACAGACTGTATTTACACTATCCCTTCATAACCAAATTAGCACTCCCAGCCTCCTACAACTACCTTACTTTAACACCTAAAATCAATGTTACTTCATATCGAATTCTGACTAGATACCAGTTTCACTGATCAACAAACCACAGTCATTATCTTACCAATCCACTCCACACGTCTCAACCAATCCGTAAAATAGGAAACGCTACTGCACTACTCACACATCCCTTATAAACTTAAAAAACGTCACATACGCCTAGAACAACGACGCCCAAATATACGCTCCCACAGCGTCTTGTTTTCTTGTTCGTTCCAAGAAATTTGCATAGATGCTGGCCAGGTAAGGGAAAACGCTTTATCAATCTTTATACAATATCAAATAAATTTTTAACATTTTTAAAGAATATCTGGTATCTCGGACTAAAATTTTGGAAGTATGGCAATGGTGCTGTTTTTTTATTTCAATATGTATTGTGGTTAGAAAAGTATCCTTGTGACAATTCGAATACATCAGTCGCATNAAAACGTCACATACGCCTAGAACAACGACGCCCAAATATACGCTCCCACAGCGTCTTGTTTTCTTGTTCGTTCCAAGAAATTTGCATAGATGCTGGCCAGGTAAGGGAAAACGCTTTATCAATCTTTATACAATATCAAATAAATTTTTAACATTTTTAAAGAATATCTGGTATCTCGGACTAAAATTTTGGAAGTATGGCAATGGTGCTGTTTTTTTATTTCAATATGTATTGTGGTTAGAAAAGTATCCTTGTGACAATTCGAATACATCAGTCGCATATACGGTTGTAAAGTAAAACAAACTTGACACGGAATGCATCCACCCTTGGCCGGGCCAATGTGCTTGGTCGTCTTTCTTTGTTATTTATTTTGACCAAGGAACTCGAGTGCGATCTTGACAGTTAAGATTTAATTGCAAGAAATGAAGTTTTACTTGTGAAGTTATATTGTGTCGTAGCTCTAGAGGCCTGTTGGCTTGTCTTCTGCTGGATATCCTCACATCTTTACAGAATTTATACTTACTGGTTAACTTTATTTAACCAGTAAGAGTTCTTTTCACCTTTAGTGAGGAGTACGAGATTTAGTCTCCATTCTGCATGATTATTACCGCCATATCTTCTTCCAATGTTCTTTCCTTCATTCACGTTTTCATTCTGGAGTCTTCAATCATGCTTACTACCTTACCGACTAACTCATCTCGTGTACCTCTTGTTACCTGCAAGCAAATTAAAGATATCGTTTACGAACGTTATTACCCGATAATGACATGTGATGGCGATTTGACTGCAAGTATATACGTTCTCTTTATTGCTACCACTGTATGAGGAGCCCAACCGATTGACTCTGTCCCTCTCTTTTTTAATTAGTGTAAATCCCTTTATGCCTAGTGGAAGACCATCTGAGATCCCAACGAAACAAATAGTCATCCTGAGCCGCAATTTTGGATCATAACAAAGAACAGGCACAAATCGAAGAAAGGGAGCTATTATCAAGTGTATCTTTCAATATCCTTGCGGGTTGTTCCACGGGCATTCGGGTTTTGAACATATTCAGGCACAGGGAACGTTCGTACAGATTTTAGGACAAAATTCAAGACTTTTTCCAGACTCGAGGTTATCAAATAGGTGATCAGTATAGACCTAAAAAAACGCAAGAACAAAGCTTGCTTCACGGTGCGTTGCAAAACGTACGGGCGAGAATAAGATTTGAACAAAACTCAAGACCTTTTACCATTTTCCAGACTTTTTTCAGGTCTGGAAAATTGCTGGGCAAATTTCAAGACTCTTTCAAGAATTCAAGACTGTGTATGAACCCTGAGACAGCTTAGAACACAAACGTTTTAAGTTTTTAGATTGTGATGAAAAATGGCGGAAATCGTAAGAAGGTGATATATGAAATGCTTATTTTTTTAATAGTTATCGTGTTTAATTTGCATTGTTTTATTTGTTGTTGTTATGAACGCGAAGTGCAGGTTTTCACTTGCAAAACCGTATCATTGAAAGCTCTTTTTATAGAACAGCTTGTTATAGCGGAGCTCTCTCGCGCGCGAAGTGCATGAAGCGGAGCAGCAAGGGCAAGAAAATGTGGTTACCTAAGCATCCGAGAAATTTTCGTAGTCAAGTGACCATGCATACGTCCGCCCACCCGTCCGTCCGCACCACAGGCATACCGATGTAAAATAACTCAATCAACAACCGCATGGCCACCCAGACTTTTCGAGAGAAAAAACAACAACAAAGTCGAGTCTTTTCCGACCTTATTTTTGATGTCTACACTCACGTGGGTGACAGAGAAAGAGTGAGTAATTAAAAACAAAGGAGACGAATTTCGTAGAAAGAAAAACGTGAAAATTTCATAGCGGCGGTGAGAAAATGAGAAATTCTAGCGGCCAGCAAGGTGAAAATGAGCGGAAGTGAAAAAAATAACAGCGAACAGGAAACAAGCAACAAAATTTTTGGTGAGCACATACGACAATTCCTCCATAACTAGGAAGTTTCACGTTTTAGTCGTGGAAAACGGCATTGTAGTCGTACAAAACAACGGCAGAGAAAAAGTGTGCTGCGCGTGTAAATTAGTTTTTTGGCTATTTAGATTTAGATTTTGAGTTTTTTGTCGTTCTCATTTCCGTCGCCGTTTATCATAACACGATTTTTTTTTGTTTATACGTATATTAACGAGAGTTTCGCTTTTAGCCCTGGCTAAATCTATTTATTAAAAACTGAATCATTGGATAACGCAATTCTAGCATTTTGATTGGCTTAGCCGTTATGGTATATGAGCTTTTATACCATGCTCTCCATATATGGTCGGTGTACGCGTCAGTTTAAAATTGGAAGCTAGCGGAGATTTTTTTTCGCGAAGGATATAACGGCGCCCGAAACAAATTGTTTTAATTCATTTCTTAGAATACTAGAAATGCAATTTCATTGAAAGAAAAAAGACAAAAACAAACAAAAAAGCCACAAGAGCTTTTTTGAAAGTTTGTCGAAAAACACATAAAAACACATGGAACTAAAGTACCTTGACCAGCTACGAAAGAAGACCAGTGTTGTTTCTTCATGATCGTGAAGCCATTCGCCGATCAAGTCACTCGCCAATAGATAACTGCGGCTTGTTTATCCGACATCAAGAATATAAATCACAAGTAACCAGCTACAAATACAGGCTATGCAGCGATTCACTAGAGCAATCGAGGCGGCAGTATAGCTTCTTTTCTTGTTCAGTAAAACCAGCTTGTGGCTTCAAACAACTTCATAACAAGCGACCGAGGTAATAGTTTTTCTCCGTTGTTCTTACTTTTTTAACTGCACCGAAAATCCAAATTCACTGTAATTTCGACGGCTGTCACTTAAAAATTCTTTTCCTTCACATTATCTGCCAGGTTTTTTTTAGCTGTTCTGCTGTGTAAAATCCTAGAATCCCGATGAGTTTTTAAAAAACTAATGTTCACCGCTGCAATTTTTTGATTTTTCATTCATGCAGTCCAGGCGAGTCCGTTCGCGCGTTGACAGTTTTGATAGACGTGTCACATGTGAATAGCGGAAGTCCCTTGTCTTTTCCGGTTTGTTCTAGTCGGGGAGATTCAACAAGATTTTGTGGGCGTTTTTAATAAAACAATTATTCCACTCGCGCTTGTTGGATATGAGATGATTATAGCCAACTCGGCGCTACGCGCCTCGTTGGCTATCTATCATNCATTATCTGCCAGGTTTTTTTTAGCTGTTCTGCTGTGTAAAATCCTAGAATCCCGATGAGTTTTTAAAAAACTAATGTTCACCGCTGCAATTTTTTGATTTTTCATTCATGCAGTCCAGGCGAGTCCGTTCGCGCGTTGACAGTTTTGATAGACGTGTCACATGTGAATAGCGGAAGTCCCTTGTCTTTTCCGGTTTGTTCTAGTCGGGGAGATTCAACAAGATTTTGTGGGCGTTTTTAATAAAACAATTATTCCACTCGCGCTTGTTGGATATGAGATGATTATAGCCAACTCGGCGCTACGCGCCTCGTTGGCTATCTATCATCTCATATCCAACGCGCCCTCGTGGAATAATTGTTAAATATTACTTGTATACAAAATGCCAAAGTATGCAAGAGCAAGACTAGAACTAGGTTTGTGCCTTGTCAATGATAGGTTGGCACACTATTAGAATAAGCATTTTTAAAAAAATCTTATTGTGTTTTTGTTTTAACTACAAACGGTTAGTGCAATATTATTTCTGTGTCACGGTAACAATTCTGGATGAACTAACCAGCTATATATAAATTATTAGAGGACTATATGCTTGTCAAATTTGGAAATACTGGATTCCAAAAATTTCTCTGACAGCCAAATTGACTGGACTTCCTCGGAATTTTTTTCATCCAGTTATAACCAAATTGGACAGCATGTAGTCCTAACACATATAAAAGTTGGCGGGAAGCTCAAATGACCCGAAAGTTTGCCATTCTTTTTCTTCATAAGAACGAGGCCGAAAAAAAAAAAAAAAATGGCCATGCAAAGTTTGCCCCCATTTGAGCTTCCCACAAATTTTAAGAAACGAGATCATATCTCTTGCTCAAGCTTTGTCATCGTGTTCACGTTTTTAAACAAGAATCTTTTTTTTCACTTTGTCTCTTCACCCAGTTGTAGGAGGGTACCAACGACAACCTCCTAGGGATAATCCTGCGGAAAGCGCTCAGAGAGGGCCCGGCGTCAATGCTCTTTGGTACCTTGTGCTACAGAAACCGAAATACCTTACAGTCATGGGGGATCAGTCTCGACTCGTATGCGACTCTACATTTGTTGAGGTTTACCTCGGTGTAAGAATCTGAACTTTTTCTTTGCTTTGCACCTTTTGTTTTTCTAGGTCCTATTGTGTTGACTTCTTTGTTTCCTTTATTTTACGACACTCTCAGGTTCTTTAACTGAGAAAACAACCGACATTTCTCAACGCCATCACTGGTTTCCCCGTGAAATGACGTCTGAGAATTGAAACGAGCGCAGAAATTCCATACTGATGACGTGTCACTACCCAGAACTGGGTGGTGCTTCTGATTGGTCGTGCCGCGTGGGAAAATTGCTTCAACCAATCAGAAGCACTTCCCAGATCTAGGTAGCGACGCGTCATCAGTATGGAAATTTTGCGCTCGTTTCTCAGACGTCATTTCACAGGGAAACCAGTGGCGGCGTCGTGAAATGTCGGCTGTTTTCTCAGACAAAGATTCTTACACTGAGGATGAGCTGTAAGTTGTGAAAGGTCTTAAAAATAAAGATGGATGTCAACTATTCCATTTACCTCATTATGTTATACTCACTTCAACGAGCTCAATGTCAGGTCTTCTTTTTAGCTCATCAACAAATAAGATGGGCCTTTGCTTAGAAATAGGTACAGTAGCTAAGATTGTGGCTTGAGACGACGAAAACAGCTCACGAACGGAGTTAACAAAGTCCTGACTAAACAGCTCCATTTTACCAACTTCATCAACTATAACCACCATGTTTAAGGTCCCCTGTAAACCAAGAATTTAGGTATGCAATCAGGCTGAAGGAGTTGATGAATGATCGAGTATTTAAAAGAATTTTTAGAGTCAGTTTCCCCCTTGTGGGTTGAAAGTCAACGCTGACAGAAATGGAAATTTGTAAAAACTGCCGGTTTAGGTGTAGAGTATCCCCTTAGGACGACTCTCAATCAACTATTACCGAAAAAGGTAATTAGAGCCCTTTTTATTGCAATACTCTGCTTACCTTAATTGTATCAGAGTTGAGACTTATAGTCGGAAGTGCGAGCTGCTCAAAGGATTTGACATCCACCAAGTAATTTCCCACAGAAGGGGATGATTTCCCTCTAGCAGTCTGACCANTAAAAACTGCCGGTTTAGGTGTAGAGTATCCCCTTAGGACGACTCTCAATCAACTATTACCGAAAAAGGTAATTAGAGCCCTTTTTATTGCAATACTCTGCTTACCTTAATTGTATCAGAGTTGAGACTTATAGTCGGAAGTGCGAGCTGCTCAAAGGATTTGACATCCACCAAGTAATTTCCCACAGAAGGGGATGATTTCCCTCTAGCAGTCTGACCAACACTACAAATAGAAATCATAAGACCCTGTAATAATAACGGGGCTTAAAACGTCGAACGGCCTCTGTTTTTAACGCCCCAAAATGTGTTTCTCGTGCATGTCAAAGTCAATGAGGTCTCGCCTCTTCACTAACTATGTTGAACTATCGTCAAAAAGAAACATTTGACCAGCATATGATCCCTGAGTTCCATACCGAAAACGTTTGAAATTCGGTCACTTATGCATTGGAAAATTTTGTTTTTCTTTTAACAACATTTTGATTTCATCTGTGATCTATGAATGAACCGATACGCGAAATGCCGGAATCTATTTGTTATCGTAACAGTCGTCATCCGACTGTGGACTCATGGTTTTAAGCTCACATCAATGACACCGGCATCAGTGCGACGCAACAAGTAAGTTGTACATTTTCGCTCCTCGTTGAGTAATTCCGACTGACACGATGCATTGCACGTGTAAACCAGGACTACGCGAAACGCAGCTACAAACACAACTGAGCACGTGCACCAACAACTCAGTCGACTCTTGTTGTAGAGTGCTCCGTTCATCCTTCATGTTGAATTCGAATTTGGAGGCAAAGTGGCGCCAAAATTTAAAACTGTGAACTTATTTTTGCCTTATGATGTTACGGCCTGTGCGAGCAGCCTTGAAAGAACATCCACTCCGGGTCATCAACTAATAGTATGGATAAAGGGAACACTACGCTTCGTTTCTAATATAAAACTATAATTCTTACCCCTTTATTCTTGCCAATTGTCCACGTTGTCCATCTAGAGTAACAATATCAAACCCCACTCTACTCCCCTTGGTAGAGCTACGAACCTCTTCTGTGTAGAACCCTTGCACATAAACTCCCTTGTCTTTGAGGACTTCATAAACTTTTCTGCACAAGGTAGTCTTGCCCACTCCTAGTAGATAGAAATTAGAAAAAGTAATAGATTATCATCATACACCGCAAGAGAATTCTTCTTGTCAATAGTAACATGCAATTTTTTAGACTTATGGAAAGTTAAATGTGTGAAAAGTGTAGGAATTGGCCAAAGTATGTAAAATGTATGGAAAATATAAAATACGAATACGAATAAAGTAAGGTATAGATAAACAATCTTACAATGAGCGGGTGTCATGGAACAGAGTCTCTCGAAATACACTATTAAATAGAGAATTCAACAAAAGGTCTTCGAATTTGCAGAATTCCTCACGGGAACTGAGGGCCACTTTGTACTTTCCGGGTACTTTTCATGCAAAATGCTTCAAAGAGGCGTAGATTAACAGGGTCGCTTTCTGTCTTGTGAACAGGCCATCGTCCGTTTTTTCCGTCGCCGTTTCCTCGGGATTGTCAGCCCCCTTCCCCCAAACTGAAAGTCTGCTCTTTTACGATCTTTATTTCGATGACTTTATAGTCTTTGTTTTTGAAATGCAGACACGCGTTTCTCAACGGAGGAATTTTCGTTATTCTAAAAGGTCTTCTCTTATACGATCGTAAACGAAACGTTTAACGATACCGATAAATTGTTGCTTACAGAGACGTGATCTGATACACGGCCGTTTCTCAGCCTGGGACCAGGCTCCGCTTTCTGAGTGGGGAAAAAAGGCAATAAATGGGATGAAACAGCAAAAAAAATCTGCGAGGGAAGCGAGCCCAGCGGTGGACTAAGGAGGGGAAAAGGGCTCGCCGATTTTTCTTCTTCTTTTATCCCCAATGCGGAGCCTGGTCCCACGCTAAAACACAATAGGGACCTTAAGATCCGACGACGGCGACGGCAACCAGGATGTCAAAAAAGCAATAGGTTTAATAACCAAAACAACAATTTTGCACGTGCATCACGCTTTTTTACATTTCTTTGCCGTTACTGCACAACGACGACGTGGAAATGCCTAATTTCACGTTTTACAGAGTAAGGACACAAGCAACGACGAAATTTCCTCTCTCTTTCTAAACTTGGATATGATTCTTAGGAATTCAACTTTAGGAGGGTTCACCTACATTTGACAAAGTTAGTGACCTGAGTAATCGCGATGAAGATTGAAAAAACGCGAATTCACTTTTTCAGCGACGTTTTCGCTGCCGTCGCCGTACTCGGATCTTAAGGTCCCTAATATGGTTTTGGAAGCGGGGGCACTCGTCAGTCCTCGTGCTTGTACGCTTCGTTTTGTTGTGGGAGAGATATTGTCTGAGGTTGTATGAATCTCTATGAAAAAAGTGCTGGGATGTTCTTTTTTCGGTAAATGTTAGTCACCCTGTGATTTACGCGCTCTGAAATGCGCATTGAGCAGAAATATGCCGATAAGAAGATAACTTGCACTGTGCCGATACAAAAGAGCGAATTAGCGTCTTAGCTAAGGCTTCCAGCTGAATGAGCAATGGTGTAAAACGGAAGGGTGGATTGTCGTCACTGGCGACCCAATGAGATCGAAACAAACTGGAGAAAACTATCACGTCAGCAAGTGCTAAGGCATAAAAAATTCAGTCAGCAGTTAACAGTCTTGTGAACGCTAGTAAGAATAAAAAGCCTGGAACTGCCGCCCGGTTATCTTAGTTGGGAGAGTACCAGTCTGCCGAGCGTCATTGGGCGGTGATTTTAAGCCATTGGCTTTGTCTCCTCCATCCTTCTTTCATTAGCCAAATTGTAGGGGACATAAAAGAACCCACACTCCTGTTCTAAAAAAGTAGGGGAAGACTCCCGGGTGGTGTGGTCTACCATTCACGCATCATTCGTATCATGGGCTATGGGTGGGTTACAGTAAGCTCATGAATGCACTGACAGCGGCTGCTACCGGAGCCCTCGAATGCTGACGTCCGAGCTTACNGGTCCCACGCTAAAACACAATAGGGACCTTAAGATCCGACGACGGCGACGGCAACCAGGATGTCAAAAAAGCAATAGGTTTAATAACCAAAACAACAATTTTGCACGTGCATCACGCTTTTTTACATTTCTTTGCCGTCACTGCACAACGACGACGTGGAAATGCCTAATTTCACGTTTTACAGAGTAAGGACACAAGCAACGACTAAATTTTCTCTCTCTTTCTAAACTTGGATATGATTCTTAGGAATTCAACTTTAGGAGGGTTCACCTACATTTGACAAAGTTAGTGACCTGAGTAATCGCGATGAAGATTGAAAAAACGCGAATTCACTTTTTCAGCGACGTTTTCGCTGCCGTCGCCGTACTCGGATCTTAAGGTCCCTAATATGGTTTTGGAAGCGGGGGCACTCGTCAGTCCTCGTGCTTGTACGCTTCGTTTTGTTGTGGGAGAGATATCGTCTGAGGTTGTATGAATCTCTATGAAAAAAGTGCTGGGATGTTCTTTTTTCGGTAAATGTTAGTCACCCTGTGATTTACGCGCTCTGAAATGCGCATTGAGCAGAAATATGCCGATAAGAAGATAACTTGCACTGTGCCGATACAAAAGAGCGAATTAGCGTCTTAGCTAAGGCTTCCAGCTGAATGAGCAATGGTGTAAAACGGAAGGGTGGATTGTCGTCACTGGCGACCCAATGAGATCGAAACAAACTGGAGAAAACTATCACGTCAGCAAGTGCTAAGGCATAAAAAATTCAGTCAGCAGTTAACAGTCTTGTGAACGCTAGTAAGAATAAAAAGCCTGGAACTGCCGCCCGGTTATCTTAGTTGGGAGAGTACCAGTCTGCCGAGCGTCATTGGGCGGTGATTTTAAGCCATTGGCTTTGTCTCCTCCATCCTTCTTTCATTAGCCAAATTGTAGGGGACATAAAAGAACCCACACTCCTGTTCTAAAAAAGTAGGGGAAGACTCCCGGGTGGTGTGGTCTACCATTCACGCATCATTCGTATCATGGGCTATGGGTGGGTTACAGTAAGCTCATGAATGCACTGACAGCGGCTGCTACCGGAGCCCTTGAATGCTGACGTCCGAGCTTACTGTCAGAATGTTAACATATAACGTAAATATTATAGGGCGTGTCTTGTTGTCCTCTAATCCACGACATTACATTACATTACGAAACCATTTATTCCAAGTCTTGTTGAACGGCGTGCTTATAAAAGGGAGTGCTGTGAAGTTTTCATTCACCACAATTGCATTAGCCTGCGAACTGCAGACGTATTTCCGGTCGCAATTGAAACCCCACTGTTTACCTCGGCCCTGGCATCTAGAATCATTGTTATGGAAACTCGTGTCACTGCAGGGTGTTACATTCATCAATGAAGACAGGGATTACAGTGAGCCAACATCCAAACAACGGAAGACAGAAACGTACGTCATGTGTATGGAAGAAGAGACTACTGAAGATACAGTTCTAGTGATAGCAGGTAGTCTGAAATCAGTATACGTGACCTGTCTTTGCAGGCACTATCAAGTGTCTAACACTTGTCTCTGCCAGGAAATTGATGAAGAGGCAGCTGCTAAATTGTACGATGGAAATTGTTTCTAGGCAGAAGTTGGCCAGGAGATGAAGTGGCACTCTAGCAACAGCTCCTTGAACACTTGATACCAGGGTAAATAAAGTCAAGTGGAGTACAGATAACGCCAGCATGGTAGCTATGCAAAATAGACAAAGGGCCTACAACAACGTGCCCAATGAATTGTTTGTTGATTGCCATTATGGCTATTTGAACCTTGTCCGAATATATTAGAAGATTGCTGTATGGATAAAAGCAGGTGACAACTGTCAATTGCCAGAAATTCCGGTAGTGAGCGTGGCTGTTTGAAGAATTCTTCAAACACTTCATCCACAAGATCCTGAAGAACTAACAGCTACAATGGACCTGTTAGTTCCTGGAGAAACATGTTACTAAACAAATTCTGCAACAGATGGAAATTAAACTACATGCAAATATTAATTTACATATAATATAGTTAAACCAGAAGACTTTCTTCATGTTCTGGGCTTTTTGACTTTTTTAAAAGGACATGGTCTTAAAGCTCACAGTTGCACTTTCCTGCCCCTATACACTTTAGCTTAAGTATATACCCTGTCTAAAATCCAGGCAAGAAATTATGCAGACATTGGTAAAAAAGGTATTCACTATTTTTAGACAAACTTGTTTTAGCTAATATTATAGTTTCACTGTAAAGCTTAATTTTCTTCAATCTCACATTTGTTTAAGCATCCTCTGGGGAGGCCAGAGCCTTGAACGGATAACCTAGTAGTTTTAAAACTTAATGATTTTATTTTGAGTGGGAGTGTGCTTAACTGGAACTCTGGAACCTCATACCAATTTGCCTATTGGAAGTCTTCACTCACTTACGGTTAAGACACTGAGTGAAACAAGTTTCTGGTTAGTTTTCCCAGTATAATGGCCCTGTTCACTCAGTTTCGTTACCCTAACCACTTAACGTCAGCGGCGAAGTTCAATTTAGGGTAGTCCACATGGGTAGTCCGTGGACTGGGGGTCAGTGTTTTTGTCCACCATCTATCAAAATGGCATCCGGGACAGACGGTTTGCTAGTCTTTTTTCGAATCATCAACAAGATATTTTCTCAATCAACAGGATATCTTCTTTTTTGTCTTTTGCTGGTTAAATCCTGCTAAATGCCCATGCAACAGCCAGAAGAGCTGTTAGCAATCTTGAATCAATTCGTCTTAAAGGCCGGGAATAGAGGTCAATATACTATAATTATAATTTATATTGTAAACAACAATTTTTTACAAATTTTTCTGAATCTTTTTTTCAGGAGTTAGCAGTTAAGCCACGTACATTTTTTTAAACAAGAAAACAAAGATACTTACCTGGAGATCCAGTCAAAAGAACATGTCTTCTTCCGGCAGAAGCCATCTTGGAATTGTAACCGCTGTCTAAAATGAGCTAAAATGGCCAGGCTGGAGATAACAGTCTATTACTATTACATGAAGTATATATCTATTTGGCGTAAACGTAACATGAAAGAATAACCTCAAACTGATGCAATTCCTCCATTTTGGACCTTAAAATTTCATCGAAAATTGAAAAGGTTTTGGACGACACCTATCCAAAGCCTGTAGATTTCTCAAAGAATGGGTAATTCAATATCACCGCATTTGGAAAATGCACAAAAAACCGGTGTTTGCTCTCTTTGTGGCAATAGACTTTCTGAGGTAAGAGCGATCCACGATCCCCTAAAATTAAAATGCACTGACTTACAATTATTTAGCCGATCAGAGTGTACACTGTACAATATGGCTTCTTTTTTTTAGTTAGGGAAACAGTTAGTTGAGCCTTAGTCATCAGTGCCAAAGACCATCGTCTTGAAAACGGTAAACCTTGAAGACTAAGACCTTTAAAGATCAAAGACCCAATATACAGTGTATTAGAGTTCACACGTATAATTGAAAAAACTACTCGCGTTAATTTGCCTAGAACTTGTGAAAAAAAAAGAGACGAGGAAAAAGAAAAGAGTTACGAAAACCGGGAGAACATTAATCAAAAGCAGGAGGCTGGAAATATTCGCCGAAAACAGGAGTTTTCCAGACAAAACAGTAGGGTTGGAATCTCTGAATCAAACTAAACACCACGATAAATATTGATACTCTATACCCTGCTGTTATTACAGTCGCATCTGCAAATCGTTTGATTGTGTTAGTGTGGTTATGTCAGTGTAGACAATGCTAGTTGTGGCTTGCTTAATATCACAGTCAATGCCCCAGTTTCATTTTAAAATGCGTTTTTTTGGTTGCAAGAGGTCTTAGCTTTTGAGGTCTTCCTTTAAAGATAGGTCATAGTTTTTTAGGTGTTAGTCTTAAGATAATCCATTTCTGGAGAACTGTTCTTCATAATGATAATTAACAATTAATATATGAGGCTGAGTATCTTATGAAGAATTATGGAGATCAAGGAGGGTGTTACGGCCTCGACGGATAACACCCTCCGAAATCTCTGTAATTCTTCATATGATAATTCCAAATTCAAAATAATTCCTAGTTTAAAAACATGGCTAAAACTTGCTTACCTCCATTGATCCATGGATGTTAAGTTCATCTTTGATAGTGCACGTTTAGGTTTGTCCAGCTCCGCAAATATTCTCCAAATAGCAGATGTTGCCCTTTGAGTTGTCTTCTTGGTGTTCTTGCCATGTTTTTAGGTATTTTTTTGCCTAGTTCTTTCTCTTGAAACAAGTGAAATGTCCGCCATTTTTCAAGTTCACAACCAAACCAACTCAACTTCGTCCCCAGGTCTTCTTGGTTAACGGTGTATTAACCTACAAGAACGCTGCATTTTTGACATCATTTCCTCGCTAAACACAAAATTCTTCCAAATTTGGTCATCAGAAACTGGTTATGGTGAATTAAACGTGTGCTTTTAGCCAATCAGAATCAAGGAAATATTTTGAACGAATAATAATAATAATAATAATAATTTATTCACTTCTATTGTGCAAATTCAACTCCAGGTTTGCAAATGCACTTTACATTCAATTTCTAAAAAGAAAACTACACATACAAAAGTATAAAATTAATAAAATTTAAATACAGTCGACGATGTTTACACACACACATATACATATAGACTGAGTTAAGATTACATGTAACTTCCTTATCCTGCTTATATTATGGAGATAATGATACATGTACATCATTCCTTATGGCTATAACGTCTGTGGGTAAAAGTCGCTTTGCAATATTAAAATAGGAGTTCCTTGGGTGGAAGCACTTTTCGAGTGAATTGTAAAAGGAAGTTTCTTCATTTAGCTTTAGCCTGAGTATCAGGCGTTTCTGGGGAAAAGGCGAAAGATGGAAGCGAAAAAGGGAGAGAGGTGAAGGAGAGAAACGCCTGACACAGATGCTTTTACTGGAGCCTTCCACCCCCACACAGCATGACTCGATACCATCCAATCAAAATCACTTCGGGTCATTGGGTTGTCAGCTTCACGTGTCAAAAAGCTCGCCTAAAATAAATCTCACTTTACGGCCTTTGGTCTGGCTGAGCTCCGGTGCTTGTGTTGCTACGATTTCGCTTTTTTCTGAAACCTCCAATGAGGAGTTTTCGAATATTTGTACTGTAAAACCTGCCATTTATGAGGAATTATAACATGTTTTAGGAATTGTGCTAGGGTAAGATCGCCAACGCTCTGTTTGTAAATAAATGTGTGCCCGGAAAATTGTAAATTGCTTTTGTTTACAGAGTTAAATCAGGCTCTTGCCTGGCAGCTAAAAAGCTGATGTTATCCCTCCTATTCTCGGGTGGTTGAAAGGAGCTGCAAGAATAAATAGGAAGGTGCGATGATGAAACACCTATGCCTAGAAATTATCAAGCAGCAGCAAATTCCACCACTTCACAGAGAGCTCGTGAAAGCTGTTACAAGTTCAAAAAGAAGTGAGAGCCTATAGGGTTGGCGAAATATGATGGCGCCCGCTGAGCTTAAGACATTTCAAAAGTGAGAAAATTTTGGAAGAGGAAGCGAACGAATTCTAATCACGTCGCTATCGTAACCGCAACAAGCAAAGTCAATCTTTTTAAAAGCATTTGTGTTGTTGGCGATCTCAATATATGGCTACCTTGCTCTATTTTCATTTACAGTAACAATACCATTTAAACGGCAGGATGTTGTAAATCTGAACATAGATATCGGAAACACTGGTATCGTCTTCTTTGTCCCGGTCTTGTGAAACCATATGAGGCTTTTCCATACTCCGAGTACATCTTTCCTTTAAACTACGAGGCCTTGAAGACACAATTCTTGCTCGGGTTTTATTTTTATTCCAGAAAAGAACTTGAGAGCGCCCTCTAGAGCCTTTTTGAATTCCTCTCTGCCCCTCTGTCTGTAAAAGTATCACATACCGGTAACATGAAATCAAAACATCTATGAAAAATTTCAATGACCGTCTCCTTGCCGATCGCTCTTGCGGTCGGTGACGTCAGGGGGTATTGTGTGTTATCCAATCACTGCCACATCCAGATTTTGGATGTGTCACACGATTCGCTGAATGGTTTTGTGTCAGGCCTTCCTTTCTCTTTTCCCCCTCCCCCCTCCCCCATAGGAAGGCCTGATACTCAGGCTATTTAGCTTTGACCATTAGTACAGCTGTAATAACATGGAGAGTCACCAAATGTTTAACCCAAGTTATTTCCAAAACCTGACAGGTTCCTCCTGAGCTGTTTCATCTGGGAGCATCTTTGCGAACACTTGATCTGTCCAATAACAAAATCAAAGTCCTGCCTTCAGCAGTTGGAGGCTTTACTTCCCTTAAGAACCTGACACTGACATCTAATCACCTTGGTAAGCATTTAATGGAAATAATTTTTTCAAATGTACAACTCATCTACCTTTAGTTTTTAAGAGGTTCAGCATGCCTTGATTTTAATAATGGGAAAGGCACTATTAAATGTGGAAATAATTATTTAAGAATAATAATTTTAAAGCTGTACTGGTGTTTACAGTATGTTCTGAATCTTAATAATTACTCCTTACAGTGCTGTAAAAAATAAAAATCTACACCTGATTAAGTTTTCAGTCAAAGAAAAAGATGTGTTTGTATATTGATTGGGTCCCCCTTTGTCTTTCTTTTCTTGTGGGCAGTTGACTATTACAAAGGGTGAAAAAAGGCTTTGAAGATTAAGCCAAAAGGTGAACTAAATTCATTAAAAGATTGTACATACCATAAATCCTCTGTCAAGCCCCCCTCTCAAATGAGCCCCTCCCTCTCTTTTAAGCTCCGCACCTCCCCTCCCCCCTCATTATTCTTCAATAATAAATGATAGGCTGTATTAATCAATCATGACTGTAAAACTTTGTGTGGACTGATCCAGGATGGTTTATTCACCAACTGGAAGTTCAGAATTGTTTTTGATCCTCGGCTGCATGACCTTCAGCTTCTTGTACTTGAGCTTTTCCACTTTGTATTCTAGTTCGTTGTGGAGAACTGATACCACTGTCTTTGTTAAATTAAATAAGCCCACCTCTCAAATAAGCCCCCCCCCTCTTTTCTATTAAGCCCCCGTCAAATGTGCTTGAATAAAATTAATAAGCTCCCTCTGGGAATTTACTACAGATGATAGATCTCAAGAGTCCAACTCAGCTGGGCTCTCTAAATTCCTGGCTCCGGTTGTCCAATCGTTGGATATACCGGATTAATCACTACATCCAATGGATAAGTGTCAGGGAAACCAATATTTATGCTACACTAGATAGAAGTGAATAGCATATTATCAACCTTTTGAACATCTGGAGTCTGGCCTCTTCACCTCTATGCACACTCCTATGCAATAATGTTACATTATGTTACGTTACATTACATCGATCAATTTATTACATGTTTATTTCATGTTTGATTTCAGGTTCCTTGCCATTAGAACTCTCACAGCTGAAGAAGTTAGAAATCTTAGCTGTTGACAAAAATAGTCTCAAGACCCTTCCTGCTGGACTTTTCACAAACCTAACTCATCTGAAAACCCTCTCGCTTTCATCAAATCTGCTGACAGCATTTCCTGAAAGCCTTGGTGCATTAAGACATTTAGATGCAATTGATTTGTCTGATAATAAAATACACACTCTCCCTGATTCTGTTGGAGATCTGCAAGTTATAGAACTTAATATGAACAGAAATCAAATTGCATCACTCCCAGATAGTCTGGCCAGCTGCACTCGCCTTAAGGTGTTAAGAATAGAAGAGAATTGTTTGCCTTTAGAAGCAGTCACCCCACAACTTCTGAAAGAGTCATCAATTTCTTTGCTTGCTGTGGAAGGCAATTTGTTTGATATTAAACAACTGAGAGAGACAGAAGGTTTTGACCAGGTAATTACAATGATACATGCAATCAGCGTAGTTAATACATTGTTGGCTGTAAGTGTGATTATATCAACAATTATTGTGAGGGCAAAGTGACTATTATTGTAACGATAGTACATATTTTGCCGTTCTTGTGGTGACAGTTACATTGGTTAGACCATGAGAAATGTGTAGGTGCTAATTCATGAACATTCAAACACATCTAATGACTCTGAACCTGCCCATCACCTCTGCGACAAACCTTTGCATTCTTTTAGTTGGCCCATACTCTGCACGGTCAAATCTTTCCAGCAGCGCAGAATCTTTGAAGGCCTAATTATTCATCAAAATTAATGGTACATATTGTTGTTCCTATTTTCCTTTGTTTTAAACTCGTTTATAACACAACTGTAATAAACTGAAGCGATGCTTTGCTTGTGTGCCTTGACACAATCATCTCAAAGCCATGTACTGTATAATGGTGACAAATGTTGTCTTTTCTTTTCTCCACAGTACATGGAACGTTTTACAGCAACAAAGAAAAAGTTTACATAATTGCTCAAAAAGTACATTGAACTATTGGTAATACTGATCCTTAATTCTAGCTCTGTTTGCTGAGTAAACCAGTGTGGATTTTTGGAATAGCACAGTACATTACAAACCTTGTTTTAAGGCACTGAAAAAGGTCCATGTGAAGTGTAAGCAAACTTGTCTGTGATAGAACCTTTGCCAGGAGTGGAGAACTCACTGACAGTGATAATATACATGTGTAGCTTACATGTATATATAAAATTATATTTAATATCATATCTTTTTAACAATTTAGACCATGTGACGTTCTGAAGGGAATTTGCCTTTGTTCGTTTCATTAAATATGTATGCATGTACATGTACATGTATACACGTGTATAGGATAACATTTGTTTGAAAGAAACAGTTCTCTAGGGTACCATCACGTAGTCTCAAAACATCAAGACTAAAAAGGTCTTTTTACAAAGGGAGTATACCTTGTGGCACTAAGTTTTGTCCAAGATGAATAATTTGCGGATCAGCAGTTTTTTTGGATTTTGAAGGAACTAGGTTGCAATTGTGAAAGACTGGCTCAGTTCTGGGATTTTTTTCTTTCTTTTTTTATAAAATAAAAGAGCGAATTATCAATATTCCTCATTTAATTTAACTCTGCTTGTTCCTTTAAACTTTTTTTTTGGCGAAAATAAGGGACTTTTCCTTTTCTACAACCGAATGGCGGTTTCCAGAGAAGAAACGCGTGATTTATTTATGGACCGATATATGTAGAGAAAAGATGGGAAGAACGTGCATTTCATTCTGTACTACCAGTAGCTGTACCACAACTTAGAAATATACCGTTTACAATAGACGCAAGATTGTGCCTTATGTTCTTTTTCCTTAGGCCAATGGTTGGACTGTAATTGGACACTACATACCTGTTGTAAAAAACTACAATTTTAATGATTTAGGGACGTTATCATCAACTCAATAGCCAAGGGAAGTCATGGTTTTTGTAAGTTACTTTGGCAAGGATGTTAGCTCAACCGTAATGCAAGCTGCAATGGATTTCGAGTATAGGTGTGATATGAAGAATTAAGAAATGGCAAAATGTACATATATTTTCGTATATACTTGCGGTTGTTTATGCAAAAAAGTGGTGATAAATAAACAACTACAGCATATAAAAGTATTATAATTCTTCTATTTAGCCCCCTTTCAGTACTTAATTCTTTCTCTCTCTCTCTCTCGCTCTCTTTTTGTTTGGTTTTTTGTTTGCTTCTTTTCTTTTAATTAATAGCGTGTCTTCAAAATAACAGACCCCAACATGAACTTTATTCAAAAAACGGAAAACTTGCTAAAAACATTGCGTTTATAAACAATTTCAATAAAATAAAAAGAAAATAAAAGTTGACTTCCATACGAAAGTGTTTAAACATCAGTCACTCAGTGTTATCGACAGTCCTGATCAGTATTTAAGACAATCTTCAAATGCATTGGGGCAAGACATAATATTATTCAGTCTACATATGGCGTGACTCCTAGGTTCAAACCATTTCAACTGTTAGAACATTGATTGAATGGGAATATATGAAATGAATCATGTTTAGAACATTGTCTCATGCATTAAACAGATAACTTAAATGTACATGTATTTTGTTTTAATAATAATTAAAAATTTATAACGCGCCTTTTCCATATGATTATGATCAAAAGCACGCAACAACCGATGGATTTCATAATATCATAAAGTTACCTACTTACTTACCCAAAACATCCCCTCATGGGTAGATTATTTAAATGTCCAAGGGGTTTTTTCTTCACTTTTGACGCCTTAGACTGGGAGCTTATTGAAGTGGAGATATGTTGTTAATTTGTTTTTGTCTCACACTAGCTAGCTGTTTTGTATTTTTAAATTGCTCTGTTTCTCTCATCGTGTTTGTAAGGTCAGTGTACTGACTCGTACCAAGGCCCTTCTCCAGATTATCAGTGGAAGTTGCAACCTCGTCCCCAGGGTCCTCTTCTGCCTGGCCCTGCAGAGCTCAGCAGGGACGGGAGGACCCTGGGAACGAGGTTGTGCTAGTCGCGGGAAGGATCACGTGAATAATTGCAAAACGCAAGCGGTCATGGAAAGGTTCACCTTGAAAAGTCTATAAGCAAGCTTCTCTCTGTTCGTTCGTCCCATAAGACTCCTTTATACAACATCTTATCGAACCTACTACATGAGTTGTGAAAAAATTCGCCAGACTGAAGGTTAAAATATTTCCAATAAAACCATTCAATGGTTTTATTGGAATGGCCTGAAAAGGGTTTAGAAAACCCTTTTAGATAGTAATCAGCGAGTGAGTGAAAATTACCCACATTATTTATCCAGTAAGATTTTTGGCTCCCTGGGGCACTAAAGATCGATATTATTATCTTTGAAAAAGCTTCTTCCAGCAGAGCTGGCAGAATGTTGGGTGTATTAAAGCGCTGCCCTTGCGAAAGATGATATATTTCATATATAAAGCTTTTACGAATCTACTATTTTCCGGTCTAAATTTAGTTGAATAGCTATGAATTGACGCATCATTTGTCAATCTCAATCATCTTCATCTTTGACTTTTCTAAGGCAATAATATCAAAATATACCATAACAAAAAAACAGCCAATGATATTGCCACCCTGCCTTTTATTTCCTTTTGCGACGTGATATATGTTGACTTATTTCCCCGTCGGCTTCTTAATAGATCTTCTTGTTTCATGAAGCTCTTGTGTTGTGAGAGATAATAACAAATAAACATAACATCACCGCTCGAACGCCTTGAAAGCTTCTTAACGAGAACCCTGATAATACGGAGAAAATTAATTTTGAATATAATTTCCTCACACATTCAGCAATTAGTGGCTGTTAGTACAGGCGGTTTCTTGAACGGCTGCAACTGAACATTTGTCCATTATAACGTCGCTCTAGTCACTATTCATCCAGGCAACAACTCTGAAAGCTGTTTTTAGCAAACGGTTTTTTTTTAACTACACGGGACAAGTCTTTCCCAGAAAAGACAGGAATAGAGCCATAATTTTCTCCTTTTCTACAAAGCACAGAAAGCGTTTAAAGTTCGAGGTTTTTCAGATTTTGAGGTAAGAAAACTCTTAATCCGTTAACTTATTTTTGGATTATTTGATATAAAGACTTGAAAGTTTTAATCCAACGTAGAGAGCAAAAATTTAAACTAGCTAGCCTAGTTTTATTCCTTTTCAGTGTTTTGCTGAGAGATATATACGATGTACCCTAATATTGTTTACTTCATATTTTATTAAGTTTAATTCAAACACTTTCGGATTGAAGACTAACTTAGGTTTGCATTTTTTTTTCTCAATTGGCAGTGATTTGTAGAGCTTTGTTCTACCCTGACCTGTGATATTTATTACGGACTATCGGATTATCTAAGATGAAAAAATTACCATTTTCCTTGGAAAATCAAAAAGGTTAAATTCCCTATATATTAATTATGACTCAAAAAGCGTCACGTCAAAATTTAACCGCACATTTCAACACCCTCAAACACGCAAGTAACCGCCTTTTCACTGAACTTTTACAGCACTACATATAATGACTTGTGGTTTCCTCTTTCTTTGTTGCACATCAGTGTATTTTAATACGTGATCTCTTTTCGTAGGGGTTAATTGCTTTTTTTAATTTATTGTTATAAATAAGATGTTTACCATTAAACAGAGCCACTATCAAACAAAATTACCGCAATATGTCATATTAACTGTATTAAAATTTTCAGCCAGGAGTGAATATGGCCTTTTTATTTACAAAGCTATATATTTTTCCTGTCGTCTGCTTTCTAGTCTCGAAACAAAATGAACAGTTTTTACAACCGTTAGTTATTTGAATTAATCTATTTCTCGGAAAACAAACTTGATCCTCTTTCTAAAATATTTCATTTTAAGGCTTTTGTTCGTTTTTTTACTGTTATTCTTTTAAATTTCCAACTGAAACAAAAGATTAGAAACATCTGTTTTATGAATAGTTCCTCATTTTTGATATCCCATATTAATTTGCATAACCGCCTTTTACATGTACAAAATTCAGCCTTAATTTCTATCTGACACCCAGACGTTTTTGGTTCCCAAACTGAGAAACGTAAACAGGTTTCTTTTTTGCCTTTTAATGTACTTGCATGCATAGTACGAATTCTGGCATAGGATCAAATTTATGCTAGTATCATGTCTTGCAAGTGCGAAATGCAAAACTTCTTATTACTTTCATTGGTTTAAAAAAGGCTAAAAAGGCAGGGACCGCGGAGCAAAGTGAAAAGTGGGAGGGCTGACAATTGAAAATAATTTTTTTATATTGAAAATCGAAAAAAGGAATAAAATCATAGTATTTGATTTGTTTCTGTCGCGTGACTTTGCATACTTTATCCAGTATTTGTTGCTCTTTATAGGTCGGCCTTAGTGAAGATACCGAAATTCTTCATACAATTTTCATTCCGTCCAGCAAATGTGTTTTCTAGTACTGGTTAAACTCAAACTCACCATTTTCCGGCACTACAAGTAGTTGTCGTCTTTTCTGCAGAGCTTACAGACTTTGACGAAGTCCCAGATAACTCTAATAAACGACCAACATACACCGTCAGTTCAGATTCAATGCAAGAAAAGATGCGATTACAATTTTAGTATAGAAAATACTACACTGAAGTGATCTGAAAAAAATTTCTAACTATGGCCGTTCACTGTTCAAGTAATGTAATTCTTCTTGCCATCGAATATTTCATTGATTCGAAAGGAGAAAGACAAAATATAAAACTTTTATCAACTCAAAACAACTACTCACCTTCGTTTGGCTTGAAAAGGCTAGTAATTTTCTTCATTTCGTCTGATAAAACTGATAAAAAACTCTGTCGGAGCTGGAAGTACAAAACACGCTGCCGAACGAAGCGAAGGGGTGGCCAAGTTGGCCAAGGCATGGCATTCGATCAAGGGGCAAGTCGGCCCCAGGGCACAATTACCGCGAAAAGCACAGCGCAAAAATGCCTGACGTTTGAAATTAAAGAAAA